TCACGATTTTATTAAACTGAAGAAAATTCACGATTTTATTAAACTGAAGATAATTCACGATTTTATTAAACTGAAGAAAATTCACGATTTTATTAAACTGAAGAAAATTCACGATTTTTTTAAACTGAAGAAAATTCACGATTTTATTAAACTGAAGATAATTCATGATTTTATTAAACTGAAGAAACTTCTTAATTTTACTAAACTGAAGTAAATTAAGTAAATTAATGATATTTTCTAAACTGAAAAAAATCCATGATTTTATCAAACTGAAGAAAATTCATGATATTATTAAACTGAAGTTATTCATGATATTATTAAACTGAAGAAAATCCATGATATCATTAAACTGAAGATAATTCATGATTTTATAAAACTGAACATAGTTCATGATTTTATAAAACTGAATTAAATTCATGATATTATTAAACTGAATAAAATTCATGATATTATTAAACTGAAGAAAATCCATGATTTTATTAAACTGAAGAAAATCCATGATTTTATCAAACTGAAGATAATTCATGATTTTATAAAATTGATCATAGTTCATGATTTTATAAAACTGAATTAAATTCATGATATTATTAAACTGAATAAAATTCATGATATTATTAAACTGAAGAAAATCCATGAATTTATTAAATTGAAGAAAATCCATGATATTATTAAACTGAATTAAATTCATGATATTATTAAACTGAAGAAAATCCATGATTTTATTAAACTGAACATAATTCATGATTTTATAAAACTGAACATAATTCATGATTTCATAACACGGAATAAAAATTCATGATATTATTAAACTGATTAAAATTCATGATTTTATTAAACTGAAGAAAATCCATGATTTTATCAAACTGAAGAAAATCCATGATTTTATCAAACTGAAGATAATTCATAATATTATTAAACTGAAGATAATTCATGATTTTATTAAACTGAAGATAATTCATGATATTATTAAACTGAAGAAAATTCATGATTTTATTAAACTGAAGAAACTTCATAATTTTATTAAACTGAAGAAACTTCTTAATTTTACTAAACTGAAGTAAATTAAGAAAATTAATGATATTTTCTAAACTGAAAAAAATCTATGATTTTATCAAACTGAAGAAAATTCATAATATTATTAAACTGAAGAAAATCCATGATATTATTAGACTGAAGAAAATCCATGATATTATTAAACTGAAGATAATTCATGATTTTATAAAACTGAACATAGTTCATGATTTTATAAAACTGAATTAAATTCATGATATTATTAAACTGAATAAAATTCATGATATTATTAAACTGAAGAAAATCTATGATTTTATTAAACTGAAGATAATTCGTGATTTTATAAAACGGAATAAAATTCATGATATTATTAAACTGATTAAAATTCATGATTTTATTAAACTGAAGAAAATCCATGATTTTATCAAACTGAAGAAAATCCATGATTTTATCAAACTGAAGAAAATCCATGATTTTATCAAACTGAAGATAATTCATAATATTATTAAACTGAAGATAATTCATGATTTTATCAAACTGAAGATAATTCATGATTTTATTAAACTGAAGAAAATCCATGATTTTATTAAACTGAAGAAAATTTATGATTTTATTAAACTGAAGAAAATTTATGATTTTATTAAACTGAAGAAAATTTATGATTTTATTAAACTGAAGAAAATTTATGATTTTATTAAACTGAAGGAAATTCATGATATTATTAAACTGAAGATAATTCATGATTTTATTAAACTGAAAATAATTCATGATTTTATTAAACTGAAAATAATTTATGATTTTATTAAACTGAAAATAATTCATGATTTTATTAAACTGAAGAAAATCCATGACTTTATTAAACTGAAAAAAATTTATGATTTTACTGTATTGAAGTAAATTCATGATTTTTCTAAAGTGAAGTAAATTCATGATTTTATTAAACTGAAATAAATTCGTGATTTTATTGAACTGAAGAAAATTTATGATTTTATTAAACTGAAGAAAATTTATGATTTTATTAAACTGAAGAAAATTTATGATTTTATTAAACTGAAGGAAATTCATGATATTATTAAACTAAAGAAACTTCATGATTTTATTAAACTGAAGA